AGCGCTGATCTCTACACTCTACACCCCGTTGATGATCGCGACGATACTCGATCAGAAGGTGCTTTGGCCCGAGGTGCTGCCAGGAAGATATAGCTTCTAAGCGCCAGGATCACGAAGTTCTTGGGATACCCCGCCGAACCTCGCACGCGTGGACCGCAGGGCGGAGCGGAAGCGGAAGCGGCTCGCGCAAAACCGCCGGGTCGGCGGTAGAAGGGCCGCGTGCACGGGACGAATGCCAGTGAAGCCCCATGAAGTCGGGTGTCCGCGCATGGGTGGGGGTTTTCCATGATTTGGTCTTTGAAACCGGTCGGTTGCCAGTTATGGTGGCGCATGGATCGCAACACTCCTATATAAGGGCAGAACCAGCGCAAAGAGCCATCGCCCCTGAGTGAGAAGCCCTTCTCGCTAGTCTATAGATCAGTATACAGTCTGGTGTCCCCAGCGAATCCCAGTGAGACATCGTCTGCGGCGAATCGTCATCATAAGCATGCACGCACGGGGAACGGGAGGTTCCGACCAGAGAAGGCCAGGGTTGTTCGCTCCAAATTCTTCAAAAAACCCATCACATCCCATCACCACTTCCCCATCACCCAGGGCACAAGGTGACCAATCGCCACTTCTCTCAGATGCTCTCGGATTCCGAGTCACGCGCGACGCACCATCTGGACAGGCGGTGCGGCGGTGCACGGTGACTGAGCGGCCCGACGAGCGAGCTGAGGCAGCAAGAGGGCAGCTCCGTAGAGACCTTTGTCCAACCTGGCAGCAAGAGGTCTCATTCCTCCCTATACGAGTAACAAGTGTATCGCAAGTAGCAGCTATTTGCATCTATTTGCTGCTAGTAGTCATGCACTTGCTACTATTAGCGATGCACTTGCTACTAGTAGCTTCTTCTAGCTACACTGTCCGGAGAGCGCCCCACCGGGCGAAGCTCGGGATGGCGTAGACCTTCACCCCCAAGAGGTTTCATGAAGGCGGGAAGGGGCTCATCTGGCAAGGAAGCGTACGGTCCTCCAACTGAAGAGAAGGCCGGGGAGTGTTGCTGACAACTACGTGGAGCATGAACTCTTTAGACTCCCCAGATCGAGCCCCAGATTGAGGTGACACCCCCAGACTGAAAGAGGCCCCAAGTCCAAGTGGCGAATGCCTGGGGAGTTGCCCAACAATTGTGTCAGACCTGACAGGGGTACTTCTCGAGCTAACCCTCCCTGGAGCCTTTCACCCTGTGACAGCCGCAAAAGCCTTGTCTTTTTCCAACCTAGCATGTAAGCCCGGAAAATTGCCTGGCATGCAGCCCAACCACATATAAGCTCAGATTCTTGAAAGTCTCCAGTCTCACACGAAGATCATCAGTCTTGCAGTCCGCACCGGCCACTTGACGAGGTTTGGACCACTTGCCCTGCACCAGCCAGCCGCACAATGGCTAGCCCCCCCCCCCGGTGGATGGCTCGGCCTGATTTTGTAGGTCTCCTTGGCTGAATGATGCTGAATGACACGCGCAAAGCCCCAAAGGTCAAAGTGGAGCTGCGAAGCAAAACGACCTGGCTAGACTCCTTTGATCTACTGCTTGGCGTGGTTTTTGGTGGAGCCCCACCTATAGCATAGGGAAATGTTGAAACACACGACTGTCTCAGTCTGACTCACTCACTCAATCACTCACTCCCTCGCTCACTCACTCTCGCCCTCTCTCTCTCTCTCTCTCTCTCTCTCTCTCTGGGCCTGAGCTATTTTGACCCAGCCCAAAGAACCAAGGCTGGGGGCTGTGGGCAAAATCGCGGTCGGTTGCACACGTTCGCAGCTGGGCAACAAACCCCTGTCGCAACAACCTTTCAGGTGCCAAACCGTCTTTGATGCCGAGCTTCTGCGGATTCCATTGTACCTGTCCAGCAGCTGGGCTGGAAAAAAGAGAAACAGAACTGATCGTTTCTCCGCTACAAGGACTCGGTTCTGGCAGCAACTGGATCTAGTTGCCATTGATAGATCCAGTTGCCCGAAATCGGTGTTCAGTGTTCAACTGCCCTGCCCCCTTTCAGATCATGGAAAACCCTTCTCCATGGCGGTCTCCTTGGGCCACTGGCCTGAAGAAGGCACAATAACACGGGGTTCAATTGATGGGCACAAGATGGCACAAGTATAAGTGCCGTTGAAGTGATATATATATATATAAATATAATATACTTTTCATGTGAACTAACAATTACATTCAATTGTAGTGATAGTAGTGGTAGTGGTGTTTTTATCATTCGTTTGAAGGGATCTCTATTTCATGTCTTTTTACCTTCCCCCTTCAGACTCTTTCAGATCTCTTTCCTAACGGGCATGACCCGAAGCGACACCCACACGCGACCCCGAAACGACCGCGCACCCAGCATCTTTGCCGCTGCGAGCTTGGCACGATTCTCTGCCTCAATCCTGGAGGTGGAGAGGCTCTTAGGTTGGACCTCCATCGCTGGTGGAGCCCTACAGTAGTAGCTTGGAGGCGTCGTCGGCTCCGTCCGCTCCGTCCGCTCCGGCCAGGATCTGATGAAAACGATGGCGCCCACGGTGGTTCTTCCGGACTTGATTCAAGATCCCAGCGAATGCGGGGTAGTGAATGCTGAAATCTGAAGGAGTGGAATGCAGATTTTGGTGGTTTTGGGTATGAAAACCATTGTCCTCCACAATATGTTTTTTCCAACGGGTGGGTTTTCCGCTGAAACCATGTTTGTGTTTAAATGGAGCGGAGCGGTTTGAGAGAACCTCTCCACCTCCCTGCTGCATCAACACAAGGTCAGACTGACCGTCTCAGAGGGCGACTGACCATACCCCCATCCTCCACCAGACCGTCCCCAATAGACGACCCTACGCACCGAACGCTACTGGTGGGCGCACACATTGCGCACACATTGGTTGGTCCTGGTATGTGAGCATCTGTGATCATATGGATGATTCGCCTCACACACACCAAAAAAAAGAAAACGAAAAGAATAAATACCCGCAGGTTGACTCGTCATGTGTGCCATTTACCGGGATTTGTGGGTCTATGATTGAACCCCTGGTGATCATTCGGCGTGTCTTTTGTAACTAAACTATATACCTCTTTTCCAACCGCCCCGTCGGCTTCCTCCGCGGCCCCGGTCCGCGGTCCTCTCTTCATCCCTGAGGGCAGGAGACGAAGGCTCCAGTGTCTCTGTTCATGGTTTACTCGAGATTCATCATGGTTTGACACATGTCGCCTTATCAAAAAACGCAGCCCAATGTCACTCAGAAACATCAAAAGAGAGACACTCAGCATCACGTGTTAAGAGGCTTTCTTTTGGTGGGGCATTGATCTATGGCCTGCTGTCCTTTGTAGATTAGTCACGAGCCGCCAGTGACATCACGCAACCGTGACCAAGGAGGAAAAACACAATGTCGCAGGCCCCGCCTGTGGATAACTGAGGATGTCCTGCAACATGCAGCAGCCCCAGTTTTGAATAGAGAGTCAAGCAATAAATCCGAATTCGCAAGCATAGATTGTGCATATGCAGAAACATGGATATAGTTCATTGTGTCCACACAGTTCAGAATATTATACTAAGCATATCCAAGTAATATATATGTGTGTGTTCTATCATAATATTCTGTAATACCATCATTTGTGTGCGTGCGAAAGTTCTCTTGGTTTGTCGAACTGTGCACTTCCCCCCTGATGCCCACACGCACGCTACATCAAACCATCCAAAGCATCACTACAAAAATCCGCGAAGCACATTCTTGTGAGGATATGTGAGGAGGAGGAACATCAAGGCCCACACGAATCGAAGAAGCGTTGTCACCATGTGTCACCTTCCTCTTGGAGTCTTGCACATCACCATGTGTCACGTATGGTCGTCAACTTTTCAGCTCGTCTACCAGCTTACAGTCAAAACATTGAAAGGCTTCAAACCTCCGATATGGTGTGTGCCAGAATAGGGCTTCTGGGGTGCCTCTCTAATGCACCCACATCCGAATCCGAAGGCCAAACATTTCGGTGACTTGAAAGAGCAGCGACTTCCCTGGCGTCCTTTCATCCCTCCGCAGCATGGCAGTATGCGAGGGGCTTTACTCAATGTGACGGTTTGTTACATGCAGCAGTGGCATGGGTGGGCTTCTTGGAGAAATCTAGGGCTGTCATGCTGACCTATCAGAAGCAACTAGAGATATAATTTTGGTGATGATTGGCTAGGAAATTCATGAGATGAACCAGCACCCCAAGACATACGTAGTCTGCTCCTTGTGCAACAAGACTTTACAATGGGCTGGCTGAAGTCGCGGCAGTCGAAGGCGGAGGTTGAGATCGACCGGAAACCCGTCCCTTCCCATTGGATGACTGGTCTCGACCAGTCCTTTTCTCACCGATGGACCAACTCCCACAAGGCCAACTCTGAACGCCTTGGAACCAGAACAATTGGCTCCGAGTAGTGGCTGGACTGCCATGAAGCAACTCAGAGCTCTTTCTCACTGCGCGTGGGCATGGTCGATCGTTGTGGAAGAAGAAATGACGACGACGACGACGAAACCCAAAAAATTGAAGAGGATCTATCCAGCTTTCCAGAGCGAAGCATCTTAGCATGTCAATTCACTGGCCAGTGGTTTAACACTTAGCCGGGCACCATCGTGCAGGCAATATCCATCCCCTCAACTACAAACCAGCTGGGCTATTCATTTAATGTAGACTCTTGAAATCTCTTGAATACTTTTCAACCCCCGAGTCGGCCCCGTGATTTGGTTGCTCTCGGGTGCTCGCAAACCGAGGGAATTTACAGGGCATGTCGCTTTGTGGGACATGGGCCGTGCCCCTGGTGTTCACGTCAGCTGGGCATTTGCCAGATTCTTCAAGGGATAGGACCCAATTCTTCCGTTTCAGCTGACCCGTGCGCTTGGAGCTCGAATTCAGCGGCGGCTCCGACCGCCGTCCCTCAGAAGCCCCCCCCCCCCCCGCAGCCCCGGACCCATGTGCTCAAGCTCCCGCCCCGGACCCTCGGTCCGCACGAGCCGAACGCCTTGGCTCTCGGAATCTTCGTGTGGACCCGTCCACGCCGCCTGGCGGTCCCAGCCGGCGGTCTCTGCGCGTCCCGTTTTAGCCGGTGGCGGTCCAACCGGGAAAAGGCCCGGAAGTGTGCCGAAGACTGCCGTGATCCCTCAACACCGTTCAAAGGCTAAACGCCTATGGACTCGTGAGATATGATGTGTATATATATATATACATATATAGTCGCGGGGCCACCCACCTCAGTTGTGCGGACTTCTGCCTGCAAGGACTGTACCTGGCAACCGCTGAGCTCGCCAATCACTGGGCACTATCGATGCTGGGATCTGGTATGTGTTTTAGCTGCTCCATTTGCGGGATCATGCCATCAGCATATGTTTAGATCTGATGCCATCTGGTATGTATAGATGATGTGAGAAAATGCTATCGATGCAGGCAGCTTCAAACAAACACCTGAGGGCTTTTGCTGCCGGAGTTCACCCTCACCAGACCCCCTCCGAACGAGACCTCCGGGGGTTTGTGCCAAGTCAGCATCTTGTGAGGTTGGACGTGGTTGACCGGTAGGGTTCTGATCCGGAACTCCCCCAAAAAAAAGAGCATTGGAAGCTCTCGGGCTCCGCAAATCCCCATGGCCCTGGCCGCCCCATGGCTGCCTAAGTTGGAGAACTTCCCTTTTTCCATCCTTTTTCTGGAGGTTCTCTCCCAAAGCACCGGTTTAAAGTTTAACCGGTGTTCTTTAGAACCGTCTTCTTGCGTCTCCCACTTCCTCTTCCATCCTCGGGCACATAATGTTGGAGCTGTGCCGCCGCCGCATCGGCTTTCTGGACGAGTCGGCCAGGGGCAGCTCGGTCGGTCGAGTCTCGGGGGATGGACATGCATGACGGAGCGCATGACGGAAAGCGATGGGTTGTGATGAATGGGTTGAAGGGAAAATCTGCAGGAAACCTTTCTTTTCACCTTTCAAACTATGGGTGTCCTGCGGATTTCTGGGAAAGAAGCACACACAGTTCCACCAAAGCACTATGGTGATGAATGCATGGTCATGTTGACTGTTGATGTTTAGCCCCCCCGGCCCCCCACCCATGGCGAGGGAGAAAACAAGGTTTTTATAATGGTGTGTGCGTGACTTTTGTCAATCAATGCATCTATATATATATACATGGTTGTACATAGTAGGTTATATATTGTATATACAGTTTATAAACAGTTTATATTCCGCATATGTATACTTGTTTATACTGTGTTTTATCCATCATGTAACCATGTATAATGTGTATAATATATACTTGCAGTTTGATTGTCTGATGGGTTGTTGGATCTTGTTGGATTCATGTGTCCTACTCTGGTCCAACTCCACCAGACTTTGGGGCACTTGTTTTCGCAACAAACGCTTCTGGGCTTTGCCTCTGAGACGAGGTGAATGTCATTCTTCAACTATAATAAAAGCATGCATTTGCCCGAAAAAAACGCAAAACGCGGGGCTTGTTTCGATCCTTACACTCCTTCACGCGTTTGGCACCAATTGGCCAAACCATTCGAAGGCCGATGTGTGACACCCATTGGCCCGTCGAGCAGAACCGGTTTTACCGGGGAAGCGTGCACCCCACCGGTCATGACGGTCCAGGGGACGCGACTAGGGCCCAATGCATCATGAGGTCAGGGGACTGACTGTGTGTGTCGTCGATGTTGCTGATGAGCGAAATGAACATCCGATGTTGAAACCTGTGTGGGATGGTCTGCCAAGACTGAACTTGCCAGTCATGGCAGTGCCAAGTTCGTGGTCTGCCAAGGGTGGATTCTTGTGGGCGACTGGGTGATGTGGGCTAGACTTAGACGTGCCTCTTACCCCAGTGACCTTCTGATAGGTCACTTAGCTACCGATAATAGTTGACTACAAGGCGACTAAAGAGGCCATCTTCTGAAGGCCTGGTGTTTTGCATGGAACCACTTTGAAGGTCAATTCAAGAAATCTCCTCCACTGCCATCTTCCCCATTCCCCCCTGCCCTCAACCCCAACGTCCAGCCTCTGGCAAATTCCGCGCGGTCAAGGCCAGCTCCGCCATGCGCATGTAGTGCCTCCAGGAGCCGCGGCAGATCGGTGTGTTTGGGGGGATGAGGACTGAGGGTCTGGGGATTTGCAGATCGGTGGTCTCCCTATCGGGCGCACCTGGACCTGACGCTTCGGCCCGACTCATGTTCAGCGGCCGGTCACGCCGGTTCCGCCCGATTTTTCGTGAGGAATTAGACTCATATGCGAGTGGAAAGTCTCATCAAGTAGATGAGACACCTTTCGAATTATGTGGAAAACCTGAAAACCCGTGGGTTTTCACTGAACAGCTGCACCACTGTTTTGACCCATATTCCTTACAGACATCCCAGTGTGCCTGATGCACGGCATGGCTTCGTAGACCTTCCCGGTCGCTTCGTCCGCGTAGAGGGGCACGTCGCCCGGAGCCGTTTTGCCTCGGTTCAACCGACCTGTGACCTGCATTAGGAGCAACATCCAGCACCACCCTTGGAGGGTGGTCATTGACAAATCCATGAAAATAGATCGTCAAGGGGGTCAAGGGGGTCTATGAACCATGCTTATAAACCGTTATAACTATAAATTTATTTGGGTGGTGGTGGATGATTGTAACCTGATTGATGGACATCTTTTTCGAGCGCTTCGACACACTGATTCTAGAGCAGTCACATGGTCGTACATTGTCCTGATTCTTGTTCTGGTGTCTCCGTTTCCCTGAATTGGCACGATTCACTGACCGTCGTTTCCGTATGACGTAAAAACCCTGGAGCCAGTCGTCTGGTGTTGTCTTTGACGAGAGGGTGTTTCTCGAGAGGTAGGCTCCGGGCAGACCCTGTAATGCGCACCTGGTATTAACCAACCCCCCCCCCATTAGTCTACCCAGCGTTCAGGCCCCAATAATAAACTAATTTGAACTATGAATTTCCACAGTCACCACCCTCTAATAAAAAATTTGCTTGGCTGAAACCCCCCCCTATTAGTCTACCCCCTGTCCCCCCAGGAAAAAAATAATTACTTATATATATATATATGTGTGTGTGTGTTTAATTAGTTTTGTTATTTTTGCCTTTTCAATATTTTCTTGTCTTGCCATGGTGAAACTAATCATCTGATTGATTAACAATGCTCTCCCAAAGCAACAGTTTTCCTAGAATTTCCAAAAACTCTCTAGGAAAATTCTTTCATTTTCCCTTATTAAAACTCTATCAAAATCTGCAATTTGAGAAGCTCAGAAAGGGTACCCCCCATACACCCCCTACCCCCCTCTAATAGTGGGGTACCCCCCCTATTAGTCAACCCCATCCATGATGAGCTCTCATGGACCTCATGATGAAAGGGAATTAGTATTTGGGCTCTCATGGTCATGGATCTCATCATTCCATCCCAGCTCTTCCAAATACTAATTCCCTTTCATTCCAATTCTTCCAAATACTAATTCCCTTTCATTCCAATTCTTCCAAATACTAATTCCCTTTCATCTCAATTCTTCCAAATACTAATTCCCTTTCATTCCAATTCTTCCAAATACTAATTCCCTTTCATTCCAATTCTTCCAAATACTAATTCCCTTTCATCATCAGGTCATCCCCACTATTAGGGGGATGTGATCTCCAAAACCTCCAATCTCAGACCTTGTTGACCTTGTTGACCTTCTAGGGGGGGGGGGCCGTTGATTAATACGACGTTTGCATTAGAGGAAGAGATATATGCTTCCCCCGCTGTGTGTCTTGTTCTTGGCCCATTCCAACATTTCCCCCCCTGAAGCTCCACTTCTGCATGGTGGGTTGGAGTGTCCCACCTTCCAAAGCCAAAGTCACTCTTCCGCCAGCCGGGCTGGGCTGGAGTCATGCAGTAGCACTCCACGAGCCAGCTGATCCTGAGCGAGCCATGTTGCCGAAGGTGGCCTCCCCTTCCGACAGCGCGTGGGACAGGGGGAACATTCCAACAGGTCAAGGAGCAATTTGAACTACCAGGTTAGTTCACCAACGGGTTACCACATGTTACCACAAGTTTTGCTTCTTCACCAGGTTCAGGGGCCTGCCAGGGTGGGACAGGTAAAGCAAACCTGGCAGTCACCTATCTCGAACTACCAGGACAAGAGCGGCACTTCGTTGACGTGGTGATTCCTGGTCTGTTGGCACTTGACGCTGGACCGGTCGAAGCATCCAGTGGGGGATACCCCAATCCCAGGTTGGGAAAAGGGAGGATTCATTCAGCGAGATCTCTCTGCACTAGGTCAAAGACTCGGCGTTCCGAAGTGTTCATGTCCACCGAGGATGTTCATGAAAGTTCATATGATTTTTGGCCAGGTCAAAGACCGCAACTCACGACACCAGGCAGCCAACTTCCTTGCTAAGGAGGATATAGTGACCCGAGTCCACAAGGCATGGTGTATTGCCAACGCCCTCTGGGGAGCCCTCTGGGGAGCAGGGAGGGGCTCTGGGGAGCAGGGAGGGATTCCGCAAGTTGCCCAACCTGACACCACGGAGCTAGGAAGCCTCCTCTATGATTTCGGTGGCCGAAACATACCCAAACAAGTGAAGGTCACAAAACCCCTAGCACTAGCAAAAGGACCCTGATGGCATTTTTGGGGGGGGCAATCAAGTGACTACTGGGACCAGAAGGCTCCGCCCTTCTGGATGGGTCTTTTCGAGAAGTCGCCCACCCCTCTTGGGAAGCTGGAAGCTGCCGACAGGTCCGAGCCGAGGGACTCCGGGACAGTGCCCAAGATGTCCAGTGCCTGCAGAGAGCCCGGGCCCTCACTCCCTGGACCCAGTGAGGCAAAGGAGGCAAGCACACGCCGTGGATTGAAGCGAGTGAGCGGTTTACTTTGGTATTGAAGCTGGTGCGGGTCGCAACCAGGAGTCTGGAGTCTTTCTTTGGGGTCAAGCCATCGCAACACATTGCTTGAAGAGGAGGCAAAGGCGTTCCATGCACGCTGCTGAATGTCTTAAGTACGGCCTCGGAAGGAATACTGAAGCTCCAGCTGTGGAACTTTCTATTTCCAGTGCATATAGATGCATATAGGTTATAAGGTGTTAAAAGCCACTGTCCGATCTTTGCCACCATGTTTGGCAAAGTCGTTGACTCTTGCCGGAATCGGATCCGCCCACATTCAACTTGCCAAACCATGGTCACGACACCTCACATCCAGTCGCACCGGTTAGTATGCTGGCACAATTTGGTCCACCAACCTGCCAAAAGAATGCCCCTGTTCCACATTCAAATCACCAGCCTACCTCGAAAGTAATCGAGCGGGGTCTTCATCTCAAAGCTGGTTCCTCGACTTCTGGGAACTTCTGGGTGCTACTACTAGCTACTACTCGCTTCTTGCTACTAGTGATAATAGATGGTTATGGCCTCCAACCTAATAGCCATGGCCTCGAACCGACCAGTGCATCGCCCCCGCCCGCCTTCTTAGCCTCAAGGCGTTTCCCGTAGAGGCCTGGCGTGCTCTACATCGCTCTACGCGTGTTTCTGGTAACGTCTCGAGTCACGGCCAGGAACGCAAATCAAAAGGTCGGGACCTCCCTGGCCACCCAAGTGAGGAACACATCAAACTCCAATTTTCCCGAAGGGGTCTGGCCTGCAAGTCGTAGATCACACTGATTGTCACCAGTGTCTAACACCATCTAATACATTCCAATACCACACCACTCGACTCAAGCGCTGTCTGATTCAGCGAGGTGAGGAAAGCAGCGTCCTTTCGTCCAGCTGAGCACTGGCTTCGAGTCCGGGCCCCCGGCCTTCGAGCAGCTGGCTGGCCACCGCGAATTCCTGATCGGAGCCAGCCGACGGGGCCGCCGAGGAGCCGAGGCAGGAAGCTGGTCAGGGGAGTCCCAGGACCCCCGAATGACTGAAAAAGAAACATCCAAAAGAGAACGGATCAAATCAAACCTCCACTTCATTGCATCATCGTTCATAAATAGATATAAAAAGTAGTAATTGGATTCTTTCATGTGGATCAGCTTTAAGCATCTTTAAGCTCTCTATGAAGCTTGTCATCGTCCCATTCTTTGGCTGATCCCAAGTGTCGACCCCCCGGACCATCCATCCTGACCGATCCATCGATCCAGCGCGGAGACCGGCGGAAGCACACCAAACAGGTGCACTCGCTGCGCGGCAGGCTGCGCCTCTTGCGCCATCTGCACGAACAAGGTGGACTTCCGTGATCATTAGGCCGGTGAGATGCTCCAAGCTCCAAGCTTTTGTTCTCTGGGAGCTCTCCCTATTTCATCCCCTTCGCTTTGGATTTGCTTAAGGAACCAAAGAAAAATCAAACACATTCCCGCACAGGAAATTCATGGCGCAGGGAAGAATCCACATCAATCCACATCATCCCCTAAGCAAATCCAGGTCATTCGCCTTCAACCCATCCATCGGGCAGACCGTAGTCGCGGCCTCCGCGGTGGTGCCCGACGCGTGCACCATGGCCAAAGGCCCTGGTCCGTCGCCGCCTCGAAGGGTCAACCCACCAAGGAGCACAGATGGCTCCCTCCAAACCCCTCCCTCATCGTGGAACGACTGGGTGCTAAACCGTTGGTTGTTTCGAGCCCCTCACGCGCCCGGGACTAAAGAAACAACAATACAAACTGAACAAACCACGGAGATCCACTTTTAGGGCTGCCATGCGGTTTGATTTGATGTTCCCAAAGCAGGTCTCCGTCCTCTGACGGGCGAACAGTTTCACAAAAGCTTCGAAAAGGCAGGGCGGTGGGTTCGCGGTCAGAGTGGTGGCCAACTGAAAGCGGTGCTTTCTGAACTTAAGGCATCTATGGTGCACCCCCCCGGACGCCGAACGGGGAGCGCTTGCTGCGGGTGTTCGGGGGCCAAGCCTTTCATCCAATGCGCGGTGGATGGAGGAGCCCACCCAACTAGCTCGGATGAGCCATTCTGGAAATGGCGGTGTGTATGCAATGTACATCAATGTACATCTAATCTATCTAATCTATCTAATCTAATCTAATCTTATCTATCCTACTATCAATCCTACCCTATCCATCCCTATCCTATCCTATCAGCAACTGTACTGCACAAGCCTCACAGGTCTTGGGCTCCATTCAGGCAGGCCAAGTTTAGGCCTCACTTCCCCCCCGCCCCGGCTTTCTGGGTCACCCCCTTGACGACTCCCATGTCTCAACCCCCGGCCTTCCAAGTCCGGCACCGGACTCGTGCCTCGCAGCGAGGGACGGAGACCGGTCCGGAGACCGGTCGCAAAGCACTGCTAGAGTTAGAGGCTGCAAGTTCAGGTGGAAGGCAGCTTGGAACCAAGGAGAAAGAGGTTCAGGAGGTTGGGAACGGTCGAGGCTTTTCCATCACTGGACGTTGCAGGTTTGCCATGAGGGTGCTTCTTCTCTTTGAGAAGCAGAACCATTTTGCTGCGGCTAGGCGACATGGACTCCCACGCGCTCATGGACGCGGACCCGGAACCACGACGGGACACCCGGACGTTGCATTGGAACAGGATAACAAGAAGAAAAAACAAAAAGCAAAGGGGTTTAGAGTCTAGTGGAGCAAATTCCTTTGGAAGTTCTGCCCTTCCTGTGACCTTTCTGCGACGGAAGGTCGAGATCCACCACCCTGACCGGGTCGAGATCGCGACGCCGCCGCGACGACCGTCCGGGCGACCGGAGCCTGCCTGCAGCTCGCTCTTCAGGCTCGCATGGAGGTGATCTTTGTCTGGCCCCCAGCCCGAACCAATGCCTGCAGCACGAACGGAGCGCGGCGCAGGCATAGCCCCGGTAGATGGTGGAGACGGAGTGCTGCACGACCCTTCAGAGGCGAACGGACGGAGGAGACGGTCGAATTCGCCGCTACTGGTCGGCGAGCTTGGATCCTGCAAGAACCTTTTGGGTCGCTGATCACCAAGTTCCCTGCCTCTTGTGTGGCGAGCTTGGATCCTGCGCAAGTGACGGGCCTACCGGGAATTGCCCACTCCCCATTTTCATTGGCCAAACTGGATATGCTGTTGAGTGGATATTACGTGTATATATTGGAGTTGTTGATCCGCGCAACATCTCCTACAACAGTCTGAACATTGTCAACCTCGGAGGTTCATCCTCTCCGATCCTATCAGACCGCCCTTCAGACCGCCGGGTTCCTCGGAGCGTCCGACCAGGCCGGCCACCTGGGGCAGGGGTGGAAAGGAAGTCAAAGAGGACCCACTTCAGAAAAGACTGAATCAAAACCCGCCTAGCAGGTCTAGTTGGATGCAAAAAAAGGCCCATTGCGGATCCATCGCACGTGTGCTTTCTCAATGAATCAAGGACTCGCTTACTTCCTGTTGATGAATCCCTTCCCGCCCTAGCTGGATTCTGGGAGGTTCTGTCAAAGAAACAGTCAACTAGACATGACTACTATATATGATATTCATATTGTAATTATATGAATGATATATAATATATAATACTAATATGCTCGCCCTTCCGGCAGCTCCAGTGTAGGTCCAATGCACCCAGCGGACTCTTCACCGGAATCCGGCTGGGGCTCCGCACCGATTGCTTCAAGAAGCCGAAGCTGCCCTTGGGCGTCCGCCTCTCCGCGGGCGCCTGGACGCCTGGAGCGAACCACGGAGCGAATCGCACGCTGGCGCCTGGAGCGAACACGGCGAGATTCGGGAAAGGCGCCAACAGCGCACGTTTTGTTTGACCGTGCTTTTGTTTATACATTAATAAAAAAGAAGGTCCTCGAGGGACTGCCAACTGCTAAGAGCAGGAAGAACTGCGCTCTTGCGAGAGCGAACTCTTCAGCCATCCCGGCGATGCAACCCGCAGAACAGGTGCTCTTGGGAGATGATTTGTGTGCAACAAGCGAATTATGCTTCAATCTATTTATCAAAATATATCACAAAATATCACAAGTTGTTCAGGCCAGGCCTCCAGGGACTTGGAGAGGGAAAAGACTAAAGGACCCAAGTGTCCAACAAAATCAGGCCACCATGGACCATCTACCCAGTCCAAAAAAAAAGAGAGAGCAACTCGCGGGGTTCCGCGGTCGCGTTCTTCGTGTGCAGCGCTCTGCCTCGCCCTCGGGTCGGGATGCCCCCACAGGAGACACCTGATCGCGCCATCGTCTCATCCTCGCGACGCGGGCGGCGGACTCGTGGCGCTCCACGGTGCTCGGCGCTCCATCCCACATGTCGGATCAAGGCATGTTTAGCAGCATGAACCATATTATGTATGCAAAAAAAGTTAGATGTATATCTATATATATATGTATATACTGTAAATATATATATATATGATATATATGAGGATGCTACATCCTCGAAACAGCGCTGTCGGAGAGTGAAAGCAGAAGCAGAAGCAGGAGCATGAATTACCGCAGTAAAACACATGTTTTAGGCCAAACGATCTGGAGAAAAATGTTTGTGGGAAAATGTTGTGGCTTCGGTAACGATACATTTATCGCCAAGCCATGTCGCTCGGTCAACGGCCTTCCCCCGAGAAGTTCAGGCTACAAAAAAGGAGGGTCTCGCCTCACCTTCACTCATCTCATTTCATCTTATCTCAACCAACGGAGTTTGGATGCGTTTGGAGGGCTTCCCTCAGGACATTGTTGGGTTGCAAGAGCAAACAGCAAAGGGAAAAAACACCAGGGGGACTCCTGCTACATTGGGTAAACTAGGGGCCTCCTCTTTCTTCACCACCAGGATCCACCAGGGCAAATTTGCAGATTGCACCCAAGGCATTGGAGGCTCAGTGGAAGGTCTTCACAGTGCAAGACATCAAAGCACCCCATCTGTCCTCAAGACTTCTTCACGTGTCCATTCATGTGCGCCCAGATGCACGAGCGTTGCACATCGGACCAGCTGGGAAGAACCCTCGGACCTCCCTGGGCTTTGGCCTTTCACCTCACCTGCCGGACCTGCCGCTGTGAAGCGAGAAGGCCTTTGTCTGCTGGAAAGCTGGATCAGTGAAGCTTGGCCGGTGTCTGGAACGATGCTGTGCCATGTGCCTTGGGTAAGGAATAACGGCTGCGACGACGACATCAATCCACAAAAGCACCGGCACTCTTTCCAGGCAAAAGACCCTACACCTGGGAACCTGGACAAACCTGGGAACCTGGACAACGATGCACGTCATCTTCTTTGAGGGTTGAACTGCATATTACTGCCAGGTTGGCCAACGGGTCTAGGTGTCGAAGTCTTCTCTTTTAAAGAGCTTCATTCTTATGCCTCAGTTCGTTGATGTTGCATGATTTGGGCGCCTCACTGGGCCGAAAAGGATGCACTCACACCACCAGAAAGCACGGGACACATCGAGACTCGTCGCCCGGGTGCCCCACTGGTCCGTCCAGCCCTCGTTTCAGCCGGTGTTGCGATCGGTCACTCGCCATCTCTGGCGTCGAATTAGCACTCCACACCTCCGCGTCGAGTGTGGGCAGCGAATTTCGCGCCCCATGGCGCCCCCGTGGCGGGTGTCGCGCGTCTCACGCGCCGCCCGTTTTGGCCATGGCCATGTGCGCAGCGGCGTCCTGCGGGTGGCCACGGCCACCACTTCCGGCGAGGACGAAAGTAGCTCAAGCAGGCGTGTTCCAGCACCACAGAACATCTAAGATAATTACAGGACTTTTGAGGGACATAAACCCTCCCTATTTGGATTGAAAAGCCTCTTGTTGTGGATGGTTTGTTCATCAAGAGTCTGCATTTACAGGACTCTTGGCGGCTGTTGCAGCCTTGTGGCTCCAAAAGAAGGCTACCAACCGCACCCCACACCCCCGCGAATCGGCCCAAATCTTCCATCCGTCACGGCTTCGCCGAAAAGAACCGTCCTTGGTGTCCAATCCGGAGTGCGCACAAAGACGACTCCAAACCATGGTCACCAGCATCGCAAAGTCCTCCAGGTCCAGTCTTCTCATGCAAGCTTCTTGTCTGTTGTTCTTCTTGCCTTATATATGTCTGATTCACAATCCTTTGTGGAATGCGTGCCTTCACAGTCTTGTCCATCGTTCACATATGTGTGCACTCCGAGGTTCTTTACTACAGCCATAGGGTTCAGCGCTCTCTACTAGTTGCTAGTAACCAAAACAGTTCTACTCTTTGGTCAGGGCGGTCCTGTTCAGCCACTGCCCGCTCAGCGTAGTCCCTCGCGCAAGTGAGTGGGCCGCGTGTGTGACGATGAAAGGGTTTCTCTTGGGAAACTCAGGTTTCTTTTGGGTGGGTCACTGTGGAAACGGTGAGAATTACATTGAAGAACATCGAACATCATCGAACGTTGATCGGCCAAAGGAGAGCAGCAGCAACAACAACAACAACAACAAACACTACAGTAATTATCAAGAAACCCAACACCATATTTGCGCCAGAAGGGTAGAAGTAAATAAATACAGGCCAACCGCTCGGCTGGTTACGTCCACCTCCACTACGTGCTGACAAGCCACGACAGGCCCAGGGCTGGATGTGGCTCCGCTCGCAGTAGGGTGCCCTCCTGGACAGCCAAAGGAATCCGGAGAAAGATGGGTTCAAACCCGAAGCGCTAAAACCAAACAGTCCAATGTGAAACGAAACTGAGGCACACCTCCATGTTTCGGTTTCCCATGTGTGAGGACAAGATGTGACTCCCCCCAATGCGCGTAGCTCCTCATCAAAGCTGATCTTGATGGCTCCCAACGCTTCCGCCTCGCTCATCTCATCTTGCGGCTCCCCCACCCAGCACACACCCTTGCTATGGTCGATCTCCAGCTTGGGAAGGCCCAGCTGCAGTTCCGCATCCTCCGGGCCCCACGCGGCCGCCAGCGACTCCGCTGGAAGCGGAACGGAGGTCCAACGGTGGCGAGTCCCGGCTTTGTGGGTCTCTATGATGAATGAATGGGGTTCCGCCAACCTGTTTAGGGATGAAAAAGGATTGCAGTCATCATGAGACTTCAAACACCCCCCAGCCCAACACCCCCTAGCCTCCCACCTTGCTTATTCCACACCTATGTTTAAATCGTTCATAATCGTTCCATTAAGGCCGAAATAACCCTGAGTCAGCCTTATTTCTACAAGGCAAGAGACACTGGTTCATCATGGTTGTACTCTTGTTAAAAAAGGTGTTGAATCACCCACAGGTGGTCCCAAACGTAAGATGCAAACGGAGAAACGACAAAACACACCGATTCAGAAAGAAAGCCGCGCGCCTCTCTTGTTTGGTGCGAAACCAGCATAGTTTAGATTAGACTAGAACATTGTTTAAATTGTTACCACCTTTTAAATGAACCGTTTGGCCAGTGAATGAACTGACTGGCACTATCCATTTTTGTGTTTATCCTTAGCCACTGACTGAGAAACCGTGTGACTCAGCAAAGTCTTCAAAAGCCGTGTCTGGTGTAAAGTTTACAATGTCTTTAGAACCTATCATGCAATCAGATTTGGTTATTTTAATGGTCAACAAACACGGTACTTAAATTGACACTAAAACATCACCAAGTCCCACAAATTAAGGTCAAAATAAGGTCAAAATAAGCGGAATACGCTTGTGTGAAACATAAGGTCAAAATAAGGCCAAAATAAGACTAAATAAGGTCAGGCAAGGTCCCACCTAGGCTAAAATCCGCCGACCCCACACCGTGGGGTGAGGCGTGACTGTCGATGTTAGCCTTAGCCGAAAGCCTTAGCCTTAGCCTTAGCCTTAGACCTAGTCCTTAGCCTTAGACCTAGACCTAGACCTTACCTCCCCTACCCCTCCGGACCCTTGTTGCAATGACGAAGTCCTGCCGGGAAAGCGACCTGGATTGTCCAAGAATCTGCCATCCCAATTGATTTACATCTTGGGGCACCCTCTCGACCCGCGCGGGAAAATAAGCACGGTCCAAAATGGTCCTGGGCTCGAATCCCGGGCTGGTCGCGGCATGGTCCCGGCCAATGCCCTTGCTTTTTCGTAGATTTTGTCACGTTTTCTGTTGGTTTACGAGATTTTCAAAGGCTTTTCTGGCATTTTCCTAGGAATGCTCTAGTCTTTGTCTTTTTGGGTACCTGCTTTGGTGGTGCTGGGTTGGGTCTAAATTGGTAAACCTGGGAGGTACCCAAAAAGTCGACTTTTTGGGTACCTGCTTTGGTGGTGAAGGGTTGGGTCTAAATTCTTGGGCAATGATCGGGGTTCATGCAAGAGCTGACGTCCGATGGTAAATCTGGGAGGTACCCAAAAAGTCGACTTTTTGAGTACCTGCTTTGGTGGTGCTGGGTTGGGTCTGCACTCTTAAGGCTAAGGCTAAGGCTTAAGGCTAAGGCTAACATAGAGCAAGGCTAGCGCTAAGGTTCTATCCCTTGGGGGTCGGCGGCTGCAGGCGGTAGCCTGGTAAATATAACCTTTTGGCATGGGCCTGGACACAGACCCTGGCATCACTCACTCACATGATCAATGTCAGACCATTGGTCGGTGTGTTCCCGCTAATTGTGTCTATTCTAATATGTGTTTCAACCAACTGCCTCAATGACAGTAAAAAAACAAACAGTGGGCATGTGTCACGTGCACGATTACTAAACGAATGAGCACATCGTGAATTCCGGGAGTCAACGCGAAAGGGTGTGCACTTGAAACCACATTGTAAACACAATAGTCACAGGTTGTGAGGGACCACATTCTGCAGACAGTAAGTCGTGCACCAATCCGACGGGCGATCCCGACCTACGTCACTTCTGGTTGGTGTATAAATATCATAATGTTAAGAATGCTACTACTTGACTCTGTTGATCCTCTACCAATAAGCCCTCCTTCACCTCCATCCTATGTGGAAATCAATTAGGTCCGCGCAGTTCACTTGCAATTCTCCCGAGGAACACCGAACGCAGCGTTCGGACGCTTTTTTTTCGTGCCCCGTTCGTCCGTCCCGTCCTGGAGGTGCAACAGGTTCTCCGTCAACGCTTTCTCGCGCTGTTCCTCTTTCACGAAGGCGTTGATGCGCGTCTGATGCTGCCGCAGCTGCGATCGCAGGGACCGAAGCTCCGCTTCCAAGCGGGTCTTCCTCAGGGCGTTCTTCTCATGAGTCGTCCAGCAGTGTCGCGCCTCTTCCGTGCAGCTGAACGCACCTGGCAGCCATCGCGAATGAATGGCTTACTTGGCATTTGCGATTGAGATGCACCCAAAAGGTCGGTGCCAAGTGCAGGAACTTGTGGTCCAAGTGTTCTTTCGAGGATCAAAAATTGACTCCGATCTCCAGACCAGGTTCAAATCTGGAAGACCACCATGGTTCAACTCTGGACCTACCAGCTTTCCATCCACGAAGCTTCCCGACCTTCCCTTTCTTCACAGCTCCCGGCCCGTGTGGGACGAAGCTGCGCTGCCCCGGCCTTGGGACACCTTCTCCAGGGCCTCAGCTGACTTCGAGGGCTGCAAATCCAGGTCCATGGCGATCGCAGCAGTCCCCTCTTCGGGGCCCAACGCGGGCGGACGGCGAAGAGCTGAGTGGCCGAGGTGAGGGAAAAGCATGGAGCTAAGACAGATGTGGTCTGACCAAAACAAAGAAGGGAACTCCTCGGTTGACTGAAACATCTGGACAGTCAGGTGTGCCGACTGGACCGGCGACCGAAACAGCGGACAGCGTGGCGGACAGCAGCTCTGAAGCCTCAAAACAGCGCCTGGCCGATGCAATCCTGGCCACCAAAACCGTGACCCTCCCATACCCTCCCTGAAACATGGAAGTGAAATACAGCCTGTTCGTTGGAGGAACAACCGTCTTCCCTTTGGTGTTCCACCGGAACATGCTTGTTGGATGGAGGGTAAGTCTAAGGCCGGCATTCCGCCGACGAATCGTCGCCCGGCATTCCGTGCGTGCGGGGTTCGCCACGCGCCAACAATCATGGCCCCATGGGCGTGCAAAAGAAGGAAAGAACGGGAAGAACCTCTCTGCCAAAAGCTGATCAGAATCCGATGCATTCTGAATTTGTTTAAAGGAATGTTTGCAAGATGCTTGGTTGGAATGCCCAAGCTTGGTTGCAATTTGGAAGAATCTAAGGGTGTATACCGATACGCTCCCATGGCCTGTCCAAACAGCCACAGCTACGTCTTCGTTTCTTTTCTCTGCGCCGGTGGCTCACAGCTCAGTTCTCCTGAGCCGCCGTGTCTGACTGGGCCCCTTCACCGCTGTCATTCACCTTCCAAGCTCTCTTTCGGACCAATTCACTCCCGATGGACCCTCCTTTCACATCAAGTTGTTTCATTCCATTGGGTACCAATCCTCTATGTAAGGTCTGCATGAGTAGCCCCTCTCATGGCGACTCTGCACAGTTGGTGGAGTCGTCCAACTGAGCCAAATCCTGCAAACATCCTCCCAACCCCGCTAGAACAGGGTCTTCAATCACAGCAGCACTCCCATCGATTCCATCCCCCCGACCTGCCGAAGATCGATCCCATGGCCCGAAGCATGCCGCTCGTGGGTCTCGCGGCCTTCGTCTCCTCCTCCTTGTCAGGCACCGCCAAGCCGTAGATGCGCTCGTGGGTCTCGCGGCGGATCCTCGTTCACCGAAAGCGGCGCACCCACACGAAAGCGACTAGGGCTAGGGTCGGATGAAAACCCCTGGGGGTTAAGTTACCTAACTGGTTTCACACCAACAGTGGCCGTGTCTACAAACCACGTGCGGAAACCACACAACATCCAAAGATCTGTTGCAAGAAAACCCGATTGTCATGTGTGGCCTGCTATGTGTGAAAGCCTGGCCTGCTCCTTCCGACTCCTCCGTGTTTTTCGGCCGTCTCACCCCGAAGTCGGCCCACCCGCGCCCCTTTTACCTGCCAAGCTACATCTTGGCGGCCACGAGTGCCTGCAGGTTGCCGGTCAGCCTGGGACGATGCCCGGGTTTCCGCTGGATCGTCTGGGGGGACTCCGCACAGTGGGTGAGTGAAGGAGAACAAAACACACACAGCCTGAGCCGCCTGAGCCTCGTATTGAAAAACACCTACCAAAGAACAACACACAGAAACCAAAACGGAAACACCATTTAAGCCGTTTAAGGGTGTTTCCGTGAAACCTCCGGATCACTCAGTCTCTCACTTTCCTGGGGCCCATGGAGCCAGGAACTTCTTCTTTTCCTGGCGCCGGAGAGAATCCAATCCCTCGTTGTTTGTGTCGAAGACCGAACGGGTCGAAGTGGTCGGCCGGGCACTTCAGATTTTTGGTAGGAATTGGTCCACATAGTTTCTAGGCCCCAAAACAGCTTCATCAGCCGAACTGCTGCAGAACTGGCTTGTGGGGGGAATCAATAATTACATCCAGCCTACGCTGGCTTTGGGGGGGATTTGGTTCTTTTCTTGTTGTCACTAAGGTCCTCTCAAACACCCACACTCCCCCCACTCACACGGACGCGCACGCACACCAGCTCCTGCCCCCGCCACACCCGGCCTGGACGAAGAGCCGCGCGGCGAGGCGCCGCACCCTGCTGGGCCACATCCGCTTGGGATCCACTGGGTTGCCCTCCTCATCGCTGGGGCCTCACGGCGTCTCCCCCCCCCCCCCCCCCCCCCATCACCCAGTAAGGGCACCAAGTGGTCTCGGTGATCGATCAGCTGCAGCGAGATCAGCTGTGTTTCTGTGGTTCTGCTCATGCTTAGCTTCGGACGTGGATTTGGACGTTTTGCCGATGGGCCGTGATGATCCTAGATAGAACTTTGAGTACAGTCTATCTTGGGCCTACCCCATGACCAGCAACAGTTGCTTCATGCCTCTCTCAAAAATAGTGATCATCTCTTGCTGACGGTTCCTGGGAATGGGCCACCACTGGCTACACCCTAAGTCTCTATAAACTCAGGTACCCGGACGGAACTGCGCGTAGAAGTCCTTCGCCTTGGCCTTCCAAAGAAGGCAGTTTTTTCTTACCTAAAAAATGTGAGGAACGCCACCTGGGTCAAACTTCTCTCTTGGGTCAAACGCCACATAGATACAATGCAGAATGCATAGTACTTGGACGGCAGCTGGTCGATCACCGCATTATATACATGGAAGAAGGAAAGGTGCATGCATCTCAACCTTCAGTGAGATCCCCCCAAACATGGCCGCATACATAAGCATGTCCATCCCTGGCCCCCTAAGAGATTCGCAACACGTTTCAACACAAACATGAACAAACCAAAACAAGTATTTCTAGGGGTGTTTTCTTCTCATAGCCCCCTTCTCACCCAAAAAAAATGGCGCCCACACCCTCCGGCCTCACATTCTAGCTTCATCTTTGCCGCTTTGGGCAGATCCTCAGCGAATGGAAGCAGAAATTGTGAATTGAAAGGGGATGCAGCTGAAAGTCGGAAGGGCATTTCACATAGCATGTCCAAAAATAGCTCCTATCCGAAATCAAGAGCAAACCTGCCAGTCGCGAGACAAATAAACCAGGACATCATGACCTTCGACACCCGCAGTAACTGTGAAGCCTCAAAAAACGGCTCCCACTCTTTGGCACCCCTGCAGCCTTGGCAGAATCCCCACCCGCCTTCGCCGCCTCCGCCGCAAACCGCGCCGGCGCTGGGTCTCCGAAACGGTCCACCCGCCGTCCGGCTGCTGGTTGGAGTTCGAACAGTTAAAACCCGGTGTCCAAAACATCCCAGGGTCGACCCAAACTCGGATATGTTGAAGGAGGAGGGTGAACTACAAGAGAAAACAACCACATGCGTGGTTTGCAACTCACAACGTGAGACACACAAAGAGAAGAGAGCGATGGGAGGGATGACCAGCTGCCCCGGGCCGCACGTCTTGCTCTGTACCGTGCGAGGGCCCCCCAAAAAAAAGCATCACAACTTTCAGCAAGGAACATGAAATTCTCCCATTTCCCAGAAGAAAGCTCCACACGTAGCTCCACACTTCAGCAGATCTGTTCCAAGACATTCCGTCCCCAACTTCCCGTCCGATTGGATGCATCCGAGCAGTCTTCGGGCAAGATGGCCTGTGGCACTTGAGACCTGGGGAAGCACAGAGAACCTGCTCTTAGTACATGGGAGGTATGAAGTGCATGGGAGATCATGGGAGGCATGGAGTACACTAGTACACGAATTGTTTTGGATGACCCCGTCCCAAGTTGTTGCACGACGACTGGGAAATGTCTTTTGTTGCCAATCGGGATCCTTTGACAGGATCTTCTCTCCCCACTCTTCCGCCGGCGGGGCAACGTCAGTCAACCGCTAGGGGCGCTCTGCAGAACGGACATCTCCAGTTCCAATCAGAAACAGGAACTGGTCGAAGCATCTGGCGTGTTTCTGAAAATGTGTCTTCCACCCTCTGACGTCGAACCTCCTTCAGGTTCCAAACCCAGTTCCGAGCAGGTGGCCGTGTCTTGTCCTCAATTCGCTTCCTGCCTTCCAGATGCCGCTCCACCCGAGAGCTCAACCCCTTCGACAGACCCCCGCAGTGCGTCTGCGTCTCTAAGTCCTCTGGCCACTGCGCGTAGCGTCTCTTGCCCTCCTTGGCGAAGGCCACGAAGGCCGTGTCCAGTTCATCCCAGCTGATGCCGTGACTGTTGCCTCAGCAGCGCCGTCTGTCCATCCACGGAGACTGTCCGCAAGCCGAACGGACGGACACCAAGGAGTTGCCGGGATTTGAACGGGAAAAAAAGGCGGTGCAAAGGAAAGAACCATCAAGAAGTACAGGAGGCCTTTCTTCTTTCTCTTTTGGAAACCGGGTAGGGTTCATGCATATCGAGAAGTTGACTCTGGATGGAAGTGGTCCATCTTGGTCCATCCTGGTCCCAGATTCTGACTCCGACCATCTGTGTCTCATCCGGTGTCCAGGCTCTTGAGATCCATCTCCTCTAGGCGTCTGGCTCATCTTCCACAACTCCTCCAGCCTCACACACTGGCGCGCTCCCATTGGCCGACTTGGTGATGAGCTGCCGTTGTCCAACTTGGATCACGTGCACACCCTGAAGTGCAGCATTTGGAGAGCCATACGTGTACGTATGATGGCATGAGCATGGTGCGACTGTTCTCACGAGCCAGGACGTGGCCTTTGCTGATTATCTGCCAGCTGCTTCAGCTGCTTCTTCTGGGTCTCCTTATTGTCCGGGCCACCTGAGCAAACCATGAACCATCTTCGCGATCTTGGAAGCAAGACATTCACTAAACACGGAGGGGGCTCACGGCAGAAGACATTTCATAGACCCCGTTGGACCTCTGGCACGATTTTGGCTGCACCGGAATAACCTTGCAGGACATGAAGAATAGCCTCAAAGCATTGAGATCATTTAGAGGGATCCTGCAGCACCACTTTGGCCTCTTTTTCTCCCTGCGCGTTCCACCTCCGATTCGCCGGCGCGTTCGACAATCGAGCGAGCTGGGCTCCCCCGCCTGGCAGTGCAAAGCCACGCGACCGATGGTCGTCCAAGGCTGGCTGAGGCCATAAGACCTGCAGTCGGGGAGTTGAAACCCAAGTGGTGTCAGGATGACTGACCTGGGTGCTTTAGTAGAGAATAAGGGAATTAACCCCAAAATTAGAGATACCGATACCCTACGTTTCATGCCCTCATTCCGAAGCACCAGTTAAATTAAAGAAAGTCTAAGCAACTGTGAAGCCTCTAGTCATGGTTTCTCTTGGCTTCACATGCTGAAACGACAATGGAGTGACCACTGGATTGGTGGACGCAGATTGGCAGACAGGTGGGCGACTCATGTCTTGTTTGTTTTCATCGGAAAACACACACATTTGAGCGTTTGAGTGTTCTAAACGCCCGACCGGGCCCTAGCAGCCGTAGCAAATCCGGCCATCGGCTTCAGTGACAGCTGACATTCTAGAACTGGAACGGGGAGAAGAAGGGGTGCTCATACATGCCACCATCCGACCTTGTTCTCCCCCACCTTTCTTAGTTCTGGTTTTATTCACTGGGAGAGCATGTGCAGACATTGGAGGTTTGCAATTTCCCTTCGCATGGGTCGGATGCAAAAACAGCACGATCAACCCGTCGCACTCGACGATCTGTGACCCTCGAGCAACCTCGAGCTAGACTCCTCACAGGCATTGCATCAAAGGCTTGTCATGCCGAGATGGGGCTACTTTCATCTCAAAACCATCTCAAGTCAGAACTTCCACACCTGGGTTCTGATCATGAGTAACTTGGGTGCCGGGCACTGGGTTCTGGCCTGGCATGCCATTTTGCAAGTCAGTCAGGGAGTTGCATGACTTGTCCTTTCGCATGAGCTGTTCCGTGCGCAACAAGTCCATGACGAGCGTGGCTGAGGAACGTCATCTGAGCCCCATCGCGACTCCAAAACTGCCGCAGCCTCCCGTGTGGCGGCAGCTTCGAACGGAATTCGTCTGGTAAAGTTGTTCCTTGGGAATTGGACGCTGGAGGAATTCTGGGGTCAGCATGCGCGATTCGCGGAAGCCCGAACAGTGAAACGGTACGAACATTGACTCATATGTACTGTAATTAATGAATGTATATAAAAATGTTTGCTTCGCACCGCGTTGATTCGTTGATCGACTCTTGTCACTTGTTGCTCCAACAAACTAGATCAACCCTGGTGGCGCTCATCTCCTTCACGACCTTCCAACCCCCCGGCCACACCCTGCCTCAACCGGCAACCCAGCCCGTTCCAGCTCCAGATCCACCCACTCCGCCGCCCTCCGCCAGGAGGCCGGCGGCAGGGCGCTCTCTCCCGTCCGCGGGCGTAGCCGCGGCGCGGGGAACTCGAGCGGCGCGTCCGCCAGCATGCGCAACACCGGCTTCGGGCGGATGCTGAACCGTGGCATCCGACGGAAGGGCTGAGAAAGTCTGTGGAGTTGGTGTGGTGTGGTGCTCATGCGCCAACATTGGGGGAATCAAAACAAACCTTGAAACGGGAGTGAGCAACGCAAGAAATGTCCAAATTGGTAAGGAGAGACTGCGTAGCTGGGCTTTGAGGCTGGTGGCTTGGTTCTGCAGGATGCTGAGGGCATGTGGTTCTGGTCTTCGTGCCAGCTTGATCGCAACGTGTCTTGCAGGATGGGCGAAGGTCAGATCAAATCGATCCGGTCGATCTCATCGACTTGATCGACACCTTCGGTGTCGGCACTTTCTACGGTCTGCGGACCAAACTTGGGGACCCAGGGACCCACATGTCAAGTCGGGCATAGGTCCCAGGTGGCACGAGAATGCCAACCAGAAACCGAAATTCCTCTGCATACCAAACCAAACCTGGTGCTCATTTCAATCACAAGTTGCAATCGTCCTCTATCCCTGGTAGCGCTTGGAGCATGTAAATGTGTGGGGACAATTAGGGACGCATGTTACATGGCCATGTGCATTGCATGCGTGCCTTGCAGCCTCTTTTTGCTCTTTGCAAGCTGTGCGAAAGTTGCTCATATTAAGGACAGTCACAGTCTTGAAATTGCAGGAACAGAGGTATCCCATATGATCCCCTGCGACAGCAAAGCTTGTTTGAGTTCGCTTTCAGCGTGCTCTTTGGCACCTTTGTTTGATTTCCAATGCCTCGAAGTCTTTTGAAGCTTGGACTGCCTATCTTCTGCCCAGCCATCCCAAACCCATGGTTCTCTGAGACTATGAACGCGACCTTTGGCTTTGCTGCTGATCTGGCGACTCTCCCAAAGCAAGCCCAATTTCAACAATAAATCTCTTCTTTGCTGTTCATGCACTGCGTAATCCGAATCATCTGGGAATGCACTCCCCACATCCCAAAGTTGCCCTGCGCAGGCCACGCTGGTCTCCCCGCGTTCCTGTGAGACCACGACGACCCAGGCATCGGAGCGCAAACTCACACTGAGAGCCGCCTGGAGGGACTGCGTCCGACTTGGAAACAAACAAAGAACGGAAGAAAGAAACAACCAAACCCAAAATCACAAAAAACGACACCGTACCATACCATGCATTAACAGATGCACGCGCATAGGCACATATACATAAAGTATGCATATGTTGCCAAACCCTGGCTGTGGAACAAAGGAGGGCATGGAATTTTAGGGTCAGCGGAGGTCCGCTTGGAGCAATTGTTGAGTGGCGGCTAATCTTGAGAAGTTAGGGTGGCAATTGGAACAACACGTGCTTTTCGGGGTGTGGTTGACTTTGAGTGTTTATATAGATCCTCAAGAACCACATGGTGATAATGTTTAACTACCTTTGATGTATAAAAGGAGGAGTGCCTAAACGGCACAGCTTGTTGACCTGATTGATGAAGGCAAGGAGGCGAGTCAACGCCTTCATTCTGTGAGAGGTGGAGCATCATGCCTCCACGTGACTTTGAAGAGGGCTTTCATGACGGAGCATCACCACTTGGTCTCAAGAAAACGGTGGACTCTAGCAATTTCTATGCCCGGATTGATCTTGCCAAACTATGCAAACAAATGGGCTGAAGCTGCCTGGTAAAGCCGAAGGAGAAACATCTCAGCTAGTTTGGACGGGTCATGGCATCCTGGTGGGTGACCCACTTGGCTAAGGTCTACATACAGCATGTCACAAGGCAATTCCAAGCGCGTTTCTTCCTTGCGTGAAGACCTTTGGATTGACTGCAGGACGTGGATCCGAGAGGTGGTGAAAGCAAGAATTGCTGGAGGAGGACGGCCAGGACAGCCTGAAGATCTCCATCAAGAAAACGGGTTTTCTGGATGAAGTTAAAGCTGTTGAAGGAGGCACTGCCTACGGATGCTCCTCAGGTACATGATGCGATGGTCCTCACCAATTATGTGCTCTCCTTTTGTTCTGCGAGGGTCAAGCCCCAGGCATCAAACGCAGGAAGAACAAGAAGATCGAGGCCCTCAAGATCCCACCCGCTGCTTGTCGAGCTCAAGGCGCACAAAGGCAGCATCGAACGGCGGACATGAAACCATGAACTTGGCGCCGCGTTCGCCCAGCCACGAGACATGACACCTGGATGTTGTGTATGCTATGCATCAACAGCACCAAGACCCTGCATACAGCTGCGCGTTTCACCGGGGTTTTTTCCAGCAATGACCGAGCACATCCGAGGTGCATGGGGGAGCTGCACAAAGGGGGGAGGGTTCACAAAGAGCAAAGCCAAACAGCCCCTGGCAAGTGGCCGAAGGACCTGTGGCGGCTTTACTTTGTTACCTTGATGAGCATGATGATGTGGATCAAAACGAGCCACGGTGTAAAGCCAGATTCCGCATGATGCTTGCAGAAGTTCAGAATCCTCTGGAAACTCAACTGGCCACTGATCTCACCACGTGGCATCAAGTGGCCCTGATCACCAAGCTTAGTGAAATCACTATGTGTGGATCCTAATTTGGAGCCTGATGTGAAAGTGATTGCAAGTACATATTCTTTCACCACAAGCTTGGAGTGCGTGGGTGGCTAACAGGATCAAGTCTAGAAGGAGCTCACGTTCCTTTTGACTTTTGGCACAACGCCACAAGATGCCACAAGATCAGACCTGAGAGCATCTTACAAAGAGCTGACAAGGATTCATAATGAGCTGAGTTAGGCCAGAAAGCATAATTACTGTTAGGAATGAAACAGCCATGCACTAAATTGAGAAGGAGAGAGCTGGAGACCAAGCAGCTGCAAAGATGGACTAAGAGACCAACCGGACGATGTTGGGCCCCATTTTTTTGCCAAAAACGGCGAAGGAACCACCGGAGGTTGAAGTCAACTTTTAACGCCAAAGTGCGAAGAGCGAAGCACAAGCAACAACACGGGATGAACACGCATCCATGTATATATATAAATGTACATATAAATATAGACATATATATATATATATATATCATTGCCATGTAAACTTAAACAAACACAAACGGACAATCGACTATGCACTATTGCATTCGGTTGCGTTCCTCACAAAAAATGTGGGCCTTCAGTCGCACAAGCAAACCTGCTCTACGACGACTACCACCATTGACAAAAGCTGATGTGGACGCCCTTGAAACGGAATCCTCCCTGAACATTCCAACTGAAGATGCAGCGACAAAGCTTCCGAGCGTTGGTGACAAGGTTATGGGCATCAAAGGAACTGGCCTCTTTGACGTGTTGACAGGCACCAAGCATATGGAAACAATCCAAAAATTTTCCGTTCCTCGCAAAATGCGCGGTCACTTCTCTTGACTGCTTTCAAGCCACTGTGACTTTGGTTCATTAGTACAGGGTTTGTGCTGTGTCGTTCGTGAAGGGGGCATGCTTACTTTTGACAGTTGTGCACCTGGCCCGCTTGAAGCAGGCAGGTCCGCCCGGATGCTGGTTTGCACGTGAGAAAGGCCCTTCCAGCCTTGTGTCGCGCATTGCCCCGTGGCACTGGGACGCCGTCAGGCAATGCGGGCGCGGGCACACGCACAGCAAGGACCTGGCCATGCTGGTTCAGCACAGCTGCAAAGTCGTGGCTCGACGGATTCAGCTCTGGGTGGAAGTGCCTCCACATCCATCGGACCTTAGCATGCAGCCATTCTCTGTGATAAGCTGTGGATTTCTATACACATCTCCCCCGTCGGCCGGCTAGTTTCCAGTGAAGAAAACCAAAATTTTGCAAGTCTTAGGCCAGCCGCTGACAAAGGCTCCGGTGTGTCGAAGCGGATCGCACTTGGAGAGGACAGAAAAGGGCCTCGCGGCAAGTCCAGCTTCCCATGTTTAAAACCACCCCCGGACATCCCAGAAACAATCTTTAAAAATTGACAATTAAATTTGGAAAAAATACCAGGAATATAACGCATGCAGGCTGACTAGTAGCCACTATTCAAAAAAAGTATAAATATATGTATATACATTGCAGAGTCAACTTGCTGCTGCGGCACTGAGGTCTTGCTTCCGCTGCACCACCAAACGCGCGCCCACCTGTCGCGCAGATAGAAGGGCGCAGCCCCTGCGGAGCACGTCTCTCCAAGGTTCTGTGCGGTTGCCCAGGGCTTCATTGGCAGTTCGTCTCTCCTGGAACAAATTGCGCTGCTTCTAAGGTGTGAAACTTTCCCTTTCTCAAAGTGCTTCAGCGGCCGATACGACATGCCATGACAAATGCGCACCTTTTCACAACATACGGGGACTCTTGTGCCTATACGGCGTCCAAACAAATAGTTCCAACTTTACATGGTGCACATGCCGAGAACGAATGCTTTGCTTTCACATACGTTCAAAAATCGGCTTCCTTCTGTGCACGTTGCGCATGTCCTCTCAGCGGCAGCGCAAGCAGCCCAGCCTCCATGCGTGCCCACCAGTCGCCGGCCTTCATCGCTTTGGTGAGGATGTCTGACATTTGATCTCCCGTCGGCAGCCAGTGGAGCGGAGGCTTGAGCGGCTTCTGAGGCGAAGGTCGGGCTTCTCCGCGATTTTCTTTTGCCCACTGGTGCTGGGCTTCGATCATCAATCCCTGCCTCAACCCGGCGAGATCGATTGCGAGCCTTTTCTCGCTTGGAGCTCTTGGGATTCCCTCCCTGTGCACGTGGTCGTACAAAGAGCGGCAGTCTGTGATGAGGTGGATGTCCATGAGCCGTCCGGCTTCATGCTCTGCAAAACTCTGTCCCGTGATCATGGACAGGATCAGCGTCCTGAGAAAGACGCTATTCTCGAATCCTTCACAGCTTGCCATGGTCTCGCCAGCAAAGGTTGACCTGCACACTCGATGCGATGCTTTGCTCTTCCAGTCAACCATACTGAACTTGCCCCCTTGTGAGGTGAGGCATTTGTGGTCTGCAATGATCACCAGGTTGGCGAGTTGTGAAGCTATTGTGTGCTCTCCATACCACGCCGCATCTTCGTCTTGCTGATCAGGAGGTGGAACATTTCCCCATGCAGCGTCGTGGTACGTGATGATGCACATGTCTTCAACTTTTATCTTGTTGAGCTTCAGGCCCTTGTCCATGTGCTTGAGGCTGGCATCTACCAACTTGTTGGTGTTCTTGAGATCTCCCACTGTCGGCGCCTGTTGTTTCCGTTGCGCCTGACAGACGCTGAACTGCAAGTCGGGCCTCGTTTGTTTTGCCAGCCATGAGATGCACCCAATCGCCGTTCGGTTTTCTTCTTTTTGTTCAGGGTTTGCGAGCTCTTCGTCATTCTGTCCGGGTGGGATTTCCACCTTCTCGACCCGGCTGCCTGCATAGCCCTTCTGCTTGATGGTGATGTGTTCTTCTTCACAATGGTATTCACATCCCACATACTCAAAGTCATCTTGTTCCCATTCATCGACCGGGAACTTGTCTTTGATCTCTTTCTGCATGACCTCGAGGATCTTGTGCTCGGTCATGAGCATGATGTCATCCACATGGGTCAGCAGAAGGCCTCGAATCTGGGCCTGTTCATCCTGCAGCATGAAGAGGCATGGGTCCATGATGTTCTGCATAAGTCTCGGCCTCTGCCCCTCGGCTTGGATCTCCATGGCCTTGAGGTCACTCGAGAGCTTCATCCACCAAAGTTTTGGTGAGGTTGACAACCCAAAGACGCCCTTGAGCACCTCAATGATCTGCCCTGGTTGCAGAGAGGGGATGCCACGCTTGGGCTGTCTGAAGTAGAGGTTCCGAGGTGCCGGAAGTCCATTAAGGAAGGCTGCTCGGATGTCGCCCACAGACACTCGCCATCCTCGAGCCAAGGCCACTTGCAGCGCCAACACAATAGAGTATCTCGAGACCATCGGTTGACATTTCTATTCGGCCCAAGTCCGGATCATATTGTCCAGCGATGCAAAGGCGTGCCTTGGGCTTCGGTCCCATCGACTTGTCAAGCTTTCTCTTGGAGTGGTCTTGTCTTTGTAGAGGAACCTGGCATTGAGGATTCTCTCGGCTGGGACCTTTTCTTGCACTTCATGACTTTCTTCTATGGACAGGGCTCGGGCGGAATAAGATGCCACGGAAGTTCCTTCTCCAACTGCTTCTCCTTGCCCTTCGCCGATATTGCCCTCTTTGTGAGGAAAGGCTGATGCACACGTTCAGCCGGTGCTGCCTGCGTCTTGTTCTTCTTGATGGCGATGGGGACGTCGTCCAAAACATGTGCTTTGCGAGCGGCTGACTGGATCGCTCGCGCTCTGTTGGCCACTGGATCCTCCTCTTCCACCTCCATTTCCACCGGGCCCGAAGGTGGTGGTCTCACCACATCCACTTCTTCTGCTTCCACCTCCGTGTAGTGGTCAGGATCCTCCTCCATCAGCTGCTTCAATTCTCGCATGGCCATCTTGATGCGCAAGGCTTCACTGACCTCCTCGTGATGTGCAGTTCGGAGATGTTCCGGAGCTCCCAAAAGGCATCGACCTCCACGGGCAAGCCAGTAGTTCTTGCCCTCCCGGCCAATGACCGTACAAGGCCCGAGCCAACGAGTCTTGCCTTTGTACTCTCTGTAGACATAGACCAGCTCTCCGGCCTCATAGGATCTCTCCTCCACCCGCGTTTTGTGGGCTATGGCTCTCTCCAGGGCTTGCTTGCTCTGGCATTGAAAGAATGCAGCACGGGCTCCCATACGGATCATGTGTCTCCGGCCCAACTTCTCATCCACGGTGATGCCCTCCAAACTTGCCAGCTCTTCAGGTCGGTCAAATAGGTCACCTTGAAGTCTCATCTGTGTCCCGAACACCCACTGTCTTGGCGAGTGCCCACTGCGGTTGCGCAACTGTTGCAGCCATGGCTTCCGTGACTTCGTGGTCGAAGATGCCGTAGTCCTCCACCAGCTTGTCCCATATGGCCTTCCAGGCCCCGCCGTGCCTCTCCGCCACTCCATTTTGCCAATGTGCTTGACCGGCAGTGCATCTCACGACCACTGCTCTGTCCGACATGATGTCCAGGAACTTGTCCTTGAAGCCGGAGTCCAGATCCGCAATAATCTGTCTTGGCGACCCGGCCCAACTCATCCATGCTTGAACCAGGGCGTTTCCAAGCTCCTCTGAAGTGGTGTTCTTCACTGGCCACACGACCTGGTAGGTGGAGGCGATGTCGACAATGTTCAGGGCTGGCAGCCCCGTAGACTCCACCGTGTCCACCCAGATCACGTCAATGGCAATCACCTCGTTGAAGTCGAGAGCCACGCACGGGTGTGCCACCTTTGGAAGCTTTGCTCGAGTGCTCTTCTCACATGTCTTACAGACCATTTGCTCGGCACCCCTGATGACCGCCTCGCTGGCGCCTCCAACTCGAAGATGTCGGATCAGCTCCCGTTGCGGAGGGTGCCCAAGATTTTGGTGAATTCTTCTCAGCATGGCTGCCACGACCGGTTTGACCTTGCCCTTGAAGTAGATAGCTTCTGCTCCTCGGCGCATCTCTTTCTCTGCCGGGTCAGGGCCTGGCACCGTTGTCGTAGGGAACTGTGTTTCACCACGGCGCTGCTTGTGGTAGTTGTCGAAGGCCTTCACCACGGCTCGAGCAAAACCGATGGGATATTCCGCCGAGGCTGCAGTGTCCTTACCTTGTATGGGTCGGTGTAGGTGATCTTCAGGACACTTCTTGGATAGGGCCTTGGCGAACCCGGCATCGTTGGTCAGCAATGCTAATGGCTTGCGCAGCGGCATGCCATCCACCACGCTTGTCATACCAAACTGGCATAGATCCAAGTCCGCATATGCAGCCATCGGATTTTCGGTGAGCTTCGCAATGGGGTCTGCTCTCCAAAGGTCGCTGTTGCGAGGGTTCTCGATAACCGCCAGGCCTCCCAGCCGTGACTGTATTTCGAAGACCCTGTTGACAAAGGTGAGCAGTCTCTGTTCCTTGGCCCTCAACCTCCTCAACTGTTGTGGTTCATAGTTGAGGCGGGAGAAGTTGCACCACAAGGTGCAAGGGGGTGCGAGCCACACCATCTTTGGTCGATGCTCCCAGATCTCGTTGATGATCTCCTCTTGCATTTCGGGCTGTTTGAGATCATGGTTGAATCTCAGGTCTCTGGGTTGAAGGACTCCTCGACGTCGTTGAGCAAAGGCGGATGATATATTGGCCTGTCCGGCGAAGAGCTCCAAACAGTCCGCTGTGTCAGGCTCCGGAAAATGGTATCGCGGCTGCAGCACCGCCTATGCGTCCCACATGGGCTCGCCCATCACCTCCTGCGTCCATGCTCCCATGGCCAACGAGAAGACGGCCAAGACGGAAAAGACGTCCTTCACCTGGTCATAGATCTTCTTCTTCGTGCTCCGGCATTGAAATCTCCGTCGCCTCATACCTTCAACCGCTCTCCGGCGGGCTTCATCTGATGTCATAGGTCGTTTCGGGGTTCGAGACCTCTCGGAAGCTTCACCCTCGCTTCCACTGGTGGTGCCATTCTCGGTGCCCTCGCTCGTCTCGTTGGAGTCGTCCTCGATATTGACGGCCCCCACCTTATATTCAGTCTCTCCTGATGCCCCCACGTGAGCTCCATCCTTGTCCTCATCATCCGAGATGATCACCGGGACCTGGTTGTTCAGCTGGTCGTCCTCCCCCAGGATGTAGGCCATCAGCGCTTCTTCACCACGGACAGCCCGGTCTTCTTCTTGAGAGCTGCCAGTTGCGCTTCCAGCGTGGCAATCCTGTCGGCCTGCTCCTCGAGGACATCGTCCGCTATGTCGGTGTCGGGTCCGACATCTTCCAGCTTGCGAGAGCCTTTGGATTGCGGCGATGCCTTCATCCACGACCCATCTGAGCTGCTGGCCTCTCCCTTGATTGGTGGAGGCGGCACCATCGCTAGTGCCTCCGGGTCCCTCCCCAGGTCTGTCTTCTTCGGGTATGCAGTGCTCTCGGCCAGGCGCTCCTTCTGTTGAGATCCCCACGAAGCGCGAACCAGATCCTCGTGCGAGTTCGGATTGCTCTTGGTCTCCCGGATTGCCCATTCGATGTACTGCATGGAGACCTCGTGATACATCCAGCCCTTGTAGCGACCGAACGGGACGACCGTCTGCGAGGGCGTGCTCTTTGACTCGCGTAGCAAGCGCATCATGAGCCCCCTGGTCGCCTTCGCTGGGATGGGGATGTTCTCCTTCTTGGCTTCCTCCGTGAGTTGCGCCAAGGTCATCTTGCTCAGGCCTTTCATCTTGTCCTCTTCCTTGGGAGGTGCCGCCGCCTGCCGTTGCTCGATCAAAAGCGATCGAAGTTCCGGCACTGTCCATGATGAGTGTGCGACCACACCCGTCTCTTCCAACTCCGCCAGCAGCTGCGCTTTCTTCATATGCCACGGCGATGTGGTTGTGGAGGGCATTCACGGTGCTGGAGTGGCCGTCAGCAACCGATGTCGTCAAGACCTCCTTGAGTTTGCTAAAGCGGCTGCGTCCGATCCATGGGCCATCCAAAATGGTGACTTCAGTTTCTGAGTGACTGTGATCAACGTGTACCAATGTGCCCTCCGACAAACACAGCAAAGCTTCAGTGGTTCGTTGTCCTCCTATACGACTCAAAAGGGCATCTTTCAATCCAATGAGTGGAGTTCTCCATGACGATGGCCGAAACGATGCACGACGGGGTGTGACATGCACTCGAACGAACTCGGAATCCGTCTCTATCCAAAAGTCCTTGGTGATGTTTGTCCCTCTCCACCAACACAAAAAACTGTTGCCCCCAAAGATGTCCGAAGCAGCTAACATGTTCTGAACCTCGATGTTCAACGGCTTGGGGTAAAAGAGAGGTCGACACAGCTCTGCATGCGCTCGAGCGGACGGCACATACACCTCTGCAGCTGCCGGAATGGCAACACGAGGTGGCTTCAAGCCTCGAAAATCATTCACAACCAGTGCTGGGTGGCCGGTTGGGCTGTTCATCAATTTGACTTCTTCCAAACCCAGCTCAGGGAGCCGTGCTGTCTGTGCAGCGAGATCATACTGCATTCCCAATTCGGCCAGTACTGGCCTGGACAAAAGTAGGGGCACCTTGCACGGGACTATGGCAATTCGCACACAAAACCATTGGCCTTCTACGGCAAACCAGGCAGCGATGCCAAAGTGCGAGGTGAAAACCCTGGAGGCTCCAAAACGGAAAAACTCTTCATGCTCATAGATGTGGGGCGGCTCAAAGTTCAAGCCCTCGTTCATGTCGCTGTACCGCTCGAACCAATCATGTCCTGCCACGGCTTTCGTGCATGCAGTGTCCACGATGGCCAGCAGCTTGCCCTTGAGGTAATCGTCGTCCACCGTGTCGTTCTTGGCCGTGACATAGCAATCATGCACGACGTCACACATTTGGGCCGAGTGCACGGTGACGTTGGCCTCATGGCTGCCAGCGCTTCTGCTTCTCAAGGGGCACTCCGGATCTTTGTGCCAGTGACCTTTGCGCTTGCAGGCAGAGCAGTAAGATCTCTCTTTGGCCAGTTTCAGACGTTCGGCTGACCTCTTTTTGATCTCCTCCATATCAGCTCCACGCCCTTTGAGCGCTTCCTTGTACTTGGACTTGGCATTCTGGTAGGTCATGTAGGCCTGGTACTCCTCGGCTGCAAGGTCCTCGGAAACCAGACCCTCTTCGTCATCGCCAAGCGGATCTTCTTCACTTGAACGCTCTTCCTCATTGTTGGTCATGTGGACCGAGTGTTTCTGCTGTCTCCAAGTTCCCCTGCCCTTCCACGTAGTGGTCTCATTCCCAGCAGCAGGTCGCCTCAATGACCTGTCTTGCAGGAGTGCTGCTTGTTGCAACTTGCGAGCATCGAACTGGTTGTTCACGCTGGACAGGAGGGAGAGCTCTTCATGCTCCGTGAGGCGCAGCTTGTCCAGATACAGCCAGCCTTTGACCATGGCTGGAAGCTCACATTGCACCTCTCGGAGCCTCAACACCAACCTTTCAAACTCCACATTGAAGTCCCGGATGGACTGATCAGACCTCCTCCGACATCTCCTGAAGAGGTCGCCCATCATGTTCGACACTTTTGTGATCTCCACTTCCATGAACCTGGTCTGGATCCACTCGAGGTAGTAGGACACGCCACCGTCCGTGGCCAGTCGGTCGACGTCCAACTCCTCGGCATAGATCCAGGCACGGCCTGTGAGCTCGTTGTACAAAGCTAAGGCCCTCCGATTGGGGGCCATCTTTGTGCACCTCAACCAAACCTGCACCTTTCTCACATAGCTCCTAGCTGACTTGCCCAAGTCGGCCTCCGAAGAACTCTCGCCGTCGAAGGAAGGCACCAGCAGCTTCTCGGAGGGTTTGTTGCGATCACGTTCAACCTCATGGTATTCATCGAAACCTCCATAGGCGGCTTGCCCTTGTCCTCCCGTCCAACGTCCGTCCTCAAAGGCCGTAGTGTTGGGGATCCTAGTCGTGTTGAACTCTCTCATTTGCGAATCAGTCAGCCAGCCATCGGTTGTGCCCCCACCTCCGGACCAAGGGTCGCCACTACCCCATGGATCACCTCCTGGAAGCTCCTCCTCCCAATCATGGTCATTCCATTCCCATCGTGAATGAGAATGGGAGGGGGTGGTCCAGGAACCCAAGCGATCGCTCCCCAGGGCGGCGCGCTTCTCGCCGAAGGTGATGTCGGTGCTCAAACCATGCGGCCTCCAAGCAGGCCGCCACCCATCACTCATCCTGAATCGTCCCAGTCAGCTCCGCGTCACCAATCTCAAAGTGCTTCAGCGGCCGATGCGACATGCCATGACAAATGCGCACCTTTTCACAACATACAGGGACTCTTGTGCCTATACGGCGTCCAAACAAATAGTTCCAACTTTACATGGTGCACATGCCGAGAACGAATGCTTTGCTTTCACACCCTTGTCGACTTTCGGGCTCACCACCTGAACCCTGATTTGCATGGAGAAGGTGCTCATTGACTTTTTATAGAAACACCTTCACCGCAATGGAGGGGTACCTAACCAATCCATGTGGGCGGGTTGTTCCCTGAGGGTGTTCAGAGAGTTGTTTCTGACGTCCTCTCTTAATTATTTCCCGTCAGCCGTCAGCCCACAAAAAAGGAATCCACCACCCTATCCCTTTCTGAATCCTCGGCCACATCTTCCAGCTTCCCCTGGAGTTGCTCACGGAATTGATGCACTTGACCTGAGCAGGTATGTAGGCTGAGCCGCTGGATGGCTGCGTCAAAAAGGTTAATGCCTGCATCAATGTCAACCTTGAAATCTGGATCATATTCGATCACCTTCGGAATCCTGCGCATGAAACCATCCATTGCAGCATCCACCTCACTTTGAAGGAATTCTCCCATGATGTGCTGATGTATGCTGGGAAGATCGAAGTCACCTGCACCGACCTTGATGCTCAAACCCCTGATCGCTCCAGCCAGGCGGGCCCCGTCAAAAACAAGTTCCGAAGACGATTCTGCATCCAAAGCGGCTCTCAACGCATTCAAACCCTGCTGATAAGCATCTCCCCCTGACGGATCGAAGGGGATTGCCACAAAATGTCTTCGAGGAAACGCCCGCTTTATCGCATCACGACTGTCCCTGCGGCCGTGATCCTTCGCCAAGGCATCTTCCAGAGCACTTGCCTTGTAATCCAGTGTGCATTTGTTCACTACAAGCACCAGCCGGGTAGGCAATTGTTTTTCCAAAAGCTGAGCTTCAGTCAGGGCACCTGCCAGCATGTTCAGGCCCTCTTCAGACAGTTTCCCGTCCATCACAAAGATCAAAGTGGAAGCTAAGGCTGTGCCTATGAGTAGCACTTCAAGTCGACTCGAGGCCAAAGCGTTGTTGAACCCCTCACAGTCCAAAACCAGCCTTCCACCATCAAGGACGATGTCCACACCCTCTGTCACAGCTTCTGGTGTGGCAGCTGTGGCAAAAAAACCTACGGGGGAGTGCCGACACCGATGCAACACCCTACCGTTCCAACACCCTGCGGCATGGTGAATGCTACGCAAAACCATTCGAAGTAATAAAAAAACAACTGCCACCCTGCACATTTAATGGGTCAACCCTTGTCCCAAAAGGATGGCCAACTGCTGCATCAAAATGTGCTGAGTTGCGCGATGGGGGTCCGAAAAATATAATCGACAAATTAAAATCAATAATACAGAAACAAACTTGGAGAACCGTCCTTGCTGCCCCCCCGCCGTTTGCCGCTTTGGATCCAGCAGAACTGATCGTTTCTCTTGCCGAGGTGCATTTGTTTGCAAAAGTTCGTTGCCTAATTGGCTCTTCCCGGCACGACCCTCCCCAACAATGGCAATGACCCGCAACTTCCTTGAGCTCTGCTCGATCGACTGCAGGACTTCTTCGTGCAAGTGGGCCCGCCCGGGTGGCGGGAAGGAAAACAGTTTTTGGCCCACCATTGCTTGCACACTGTGCGACGCAACCAAACCGATTGAGATTAAGATTGCAATCCCGAAGGCTGTCATTGCCAGCGGCGCGTTTGGACAAGTTTTGGGCCTCTTGCGGGCATTGTTCAAGTTTCTCGCACTCACACGATCAAAATCACAAGAACTCCAACATGTTCAAAGGCCAGCAATAATGAATGCAAAAAAACACGACTGGCCCCTTGTTGCGCCTTCCTGTTTGAAAATGAGCAAGCGATCGTATTGGCAGAAGTTTCACTAAAACCCTGCCGCGTTCCACGCAAAAACGCGTGCGCCATGATGCCATGGATCCCACAAAAAAAAAAAAAAAAACGCATAAATTTGGGTAAAGGATGGGCTGCAACTATGAGTTTGCAAGAATGACAAATCCCTTGCATGTTCCATGTCTTACGGGCATGGAACACAACTCGCATCCCATTTGTCGGTCACGAGAGCCATATCCGCGTGGCCGGCTACACATCACAGCAACGTGGGTCGAACTTAGGGGCCGATCGCCATGGCAACTAGCAATCCGTGTTGGCAGTGTTGAGCAGCCATGGGGCCCCGTAGGAGACAAGCAACGAGCACAAGGTTGGCCTAATTAAACCAGGGGTTCACTGAGGGAAGCCTCGGCCTCCTCGACGTTGGAGGGGGAGGGCTAAGTCCTGGACGACAAGATCCGCTGCGTCAGTGGGTGGGAACCGTGTTGTGTTCCACACCGGTCCTTTCTCCAATAAATGTTTACTTAACTTGACCTAAGGGCCGGGTGGCATGGGATAACCAATTCGGATAACCGCCGCTAATCGTACCAAAAATGATTTCATTCAAGAAACCGGGAGAAATTGAATTGCAAGTGGCCAGCCTAAGCGGTCACGCTGTGCTACATTGAAAATTTGCTGCCCAAATGTCCGCCACCCTTTTTACCCCCGTACGAATTCAGGGGGTGAGGTTGTGTCAAGCATTCTGTTGCAAAAACACATTTTTTTCCTACAGAAAGGCCTGTCCGACATACAAAATGTTAGTTTGGTCATTACAAAATGAATTACTTGACATCATTGTGTACAGGGCTTCAATGAGCTCTGGAAAATATGCTCACTACAAAATGAATGGGCTCAACCTCAACCTCAATGGCTCACAGATTCCAAAATGACATGCTTGTCCATACACTGGAGCTCTCATAAGGTTACAAAATGCATATACCTCAGGTCATGTTGTAACGTGCTATTCCAATCCCTAAATCGCTCACAGACTACAAAATGCAATTCCTGTCCAAGAACAATTGCCTTCTACTACACAATCAAATAGCCTGGATCATTCTGTAGTCCTGCTCCAGGATGATATCGTTACAAACTAGCGGCCTCAACATGTTTTTGTAAGCCCCTGATGGGCCCACTGTCCCAGATTCTTACTTACAAATCCTTACAAAATGAGTGGTCTCAACCTCATATTACATCAGTCACACAAGTGAGTTGGGCATGTATGACCCTAGGATTTCAGGCATAGGCACTACAAAATGACCCCTGATATAAAGCCTCAAGGCCCTACATTTTGGAGTGGTTATTCGCACGGGGATCCTTTTTTGATCAAAATGGTTATAGTTGGTGCTCACACCGAGCAGGTTCAGGACATGTAGGTCCCAAAAAGACTAAGTAATACGCATAAAAAAATCGCTCCTGTAGGACAAGCCAACGACTCACGAGCATCAAAAATAAAACCCACAAATCAAAACACAAAACCGTGGTAGGGGTGGAAGAAACAAAAGAACGAAAAACATGGGGTAACCTTGGTGGTGGTGGTGGTGGTGGTGGTGGTCGTAGTAGTAGTAGTAGTAGTAGTAGTAGTAGTAGTGGTGGTGGTGGTGGTGGTGCTGGTGGTGGCAGTAGTAGTAGTAGTAGTAGTAGTAGTGGTAGTAGTAGTAGTAGTAGTAGTGGTAGTGGTGGTGGTGGTGGTGGTAGTGGTAGTAGTAGTAGTAGTCGTCGTCGTCGTCGTCCTCGTCGTGGCTGGCATGGCGGGGTCTTGCCAACATACTTATAGTTTTGGCTAAGCGCGTGTGAGGACAAAGGGGGCAAACATTTGCTTGGCACAGGCGTTGGCACAGGCATGCCACCCGACACAATTTGTGAAATTGCGCGTAGCTGGTTGGAACGCATGTGCAGCAAGTTCGCTTGCTCGCCCCTACAACCCACATTGGCAGCTTTTGTCTTGCGAGGCAGTTCAAAGCGCAAATGTATTGCGCAACGTGTTGTGCGCCGTGTAAGAGTGCTGTGATTTTTGGGCACTTGCAATGAAGAGTCGACTTGATGGTTTCCGCAAAGTCGTCTTTGTAATTAGTATACGCTACATAGTGTGTGCCTGTTGGTTTTGGATCCTGGAGCGCTCTAGCTACGTGGCCTTGGATCTATAGAACGATAGACCTCACAAGCAGCAAGTCCCACAGCTCTCCATGTTTTCTATGCCATGGCGTGCGCAGTCGCGCACCGTGTACATGCGTTCCCTCCCTTGAGGTAGTGAAAGCGACGGATGTCACATGTCAAGCGTCTCGACGGTTCCATGCTTTGCGTGTTCAACACTGGTCAATTCTTCTGTTGACTGTGACATCTTTGTTGGTCTCCAGCTCTCGTTGCTGTTGCCACTCTTCCCGTCCTTGGCTTCCCGCAAAGAGATTTGAGGCTGCCTCAACCACTTCCGAAAGGCGTCTCGAAGCTGCGTTGACCTTTTCATCATACAGTCTGCTTTCATCCGTTCACTTGGAACCCATTTCAAGGTCTGACAGTTCTGTCGAAAAGCTGCTATGTCTATTTCGACACGGCGTTCAGCAAAGCTTGTGGAAATCCTATGGATGGCGTCGGAAAGGGGGCCAACATCGGTCACTGGATAAATCGGCACTAGGCACTAGGGTTCTTCCAGGTCCTGCAGCTATGAAGTTGGCGTCCGAGGTCTCTGCCAACAATTGTTTTTTTCTAGTTTGCTGAGTCCCCAGCTTTGTCGAGAGAAGCGGCCTCAGCTGCCAAAGTCAAGCGAAGAACCCTTCCACTCCAAGAGAGAGCAAGGTGTGATGCTCTGCAGAGCTGACGTGGTCGTTGCCACAATGACCAGTCCTCCTTGAGACTTGTTGTTGGGAGCGTTCCCGAAGCCAGATGTTCTTGGGGTTCACTGGGTTGCTGCGGATAGTTGCATCTTCCGTGGCCTTGACATACCTGATGGTTCGGTTGATCTCATTCAGATCTTCTGTCGTCAGGTCTTCTCGTCCCTTTGGCAACAAAGTCAAATCGGCTGAGGTATCTGCCCGTGTTGTGCCAGAAAACCATTGTAGGCTGCCAATCCTTGATCGGAACTCGGACATCAGTTCAGCATTGTCTTTCAACTTGACCACCTCATCCACCTCCTCTTGAGACCTTGTTGAAGACACATCTTGAACATAGCTTGACAACGCGTCTGCTTGCAAAGCATAAAGCGTGTGCCAGTGAATTCGAAACTGTCCTTCTCCAATGGTCCACCCGAAGTGAAACGCTGTTCGAAGCAGGCCCACTGCCTCCTTCTCCCATTCCGGAAGCGCTGTGACTAAAATGTCATCAACAAAAACTCCCAAAAGAGCTACCACCTGTTGATGTTTTTCACCTTCGGTGTCTTTCAGATTGAAGGTAGCCTTGGCGTGCCTGGAGCAGGAATGTCGGATGGTTTGAGTGGAAATCATGGTCGTATGAGAAATCAAAGTCTTTGGGTTCCGGGGGGAGTATGGTCGCAAGGCTGAAACTTAAAGGAATTGACGGAAAGGCACCACCAGGAGTGGAGCCTGCGGCTTAATTTGACTCAACACGGGGAAACTTACCAGGTCCAGACATAGTAAGGATTGACAGATTGATAGTTTTTTCTTGATTTTATGGGTGGTGGTGCATGGCCGTTCTTAGTTGGTGGAGTGATTTGTCTGGTTAATTCCGTTAACGAACGAGACCTTAACCTACTAAATAGTTACATGTAACCTCGGTTACATGGGCAACTTCTTAGAGGGACTTTGTGTGTCTAACGCAAGGAAGTTTGAGGCAATAACAGGTCTGTGATGCCCTTAGTTGTTCTTCCCACCTTCCTCAAGGTGATGGACATCATCAACAGTACCCAAGCTTTGTGCCTGGCCAGGACGGTTCTGGACAGAGTTCAGGTGGACATGGGGTGATTTATGGGCTGCCACCACATTGCGGTTGGAATCAAGATGGTCGTGGTTGTATTCCACCTCCTTCACCCTTTGTTGGCTGGCGTGGTGGCCACTAGGTGGATACCAAGCATGCCATTGCCAGGTACAAGTCATGGTCATCTCGAAGTCGCGAACTCAGCGGATTTCGTGATTGGGACTAGTGCACGACAGGGACTGCGTTTTCTTCTCATAGGAGGCTGTGGCAAAGCATCGTCTTTGCCGAACTCGGTTGAAGGCGCCTCCCCATAGACGAAGATTGCGTGGGCCACTGCCTTGTCGAAGCGGCCCGCGATGGTGAGGTTCTCGCCGTCCTCGCCCTCGACCGAGCTCATTCCATCAACATCCAAAAGTGATGCGAGGAGCTTGTAACAGCACATGTCACTGATCACATCCTCCACACCAGGAAGGTTCATAAAGCGTTGGAAGGGCGCTTGTTCCCATAGTGCCGAGAATGCGGGTTCTCGATCAAAAAGCATCTCCCTTCGGCATGGATCTTCCCGCAGTGTTTCACCATAGAATGCACTGCGTCACGTTTTGCTTGCCGAAACTTGGGGCGCTTCAGGCATTGGCATGGACGTGGATTTCTTTTACAACTCCCATCCAAGGAACCTCTATCCGCAGCCTTATGGCATCGCTCGAGAAAAAAACCTGCTGTTACAGGACTACTTGGGTTGTTCGTGCACGAGGTTCTTGCGCGGATGAACATCCTGCGGAATCTTCATGAGTGGTCCGTTCCTGTCACCACGCACTGCTATCAAGCAGAAGCGGACTTTGCTGCCGCAGTCGAAGAAGTGGAAGGTGTGGTAGCTGTTCATTTCGCCGCTCGAGGACCAACACAACGGCATTGCCAAGGAGCAGCTCACGCGGTGAAGATCTGCGACACTTCGACCACTTGAGAGAGGAGGGGATGAACGAAAGGTTGCAGGCAATCACAAGTACCCCTGGTAGAAGTCCATGGCGGCGTGACCCGGCGCAGGGGGGATTTGATCCAGGGAGGGGGGGGGCCCACCGACGAACAGAATCATTTCTTACAGGACCAAATTCAATCCTCTGGGTCCTCGTAGGCATCAAAACATTGCTCAGTGTCTTCACGAGGTTCATAAGGGAGTTGTTCATCGGAAGTTGGAAACCTCGTGGTGAACTTCCAACTTCAACCTTCTCAAAACCCTCGGCCGCGACCACCTCGTCGCACATAAGGAGATGCCGTAGACGAAGTTGCAACCGTGCCAGGACCCGCCATGCCAAGTTCGTCAGGGTATGGGGCCACCTTTGCCTCATGATGTTTTCACTCAGTGCGTTGAAAGTGATGCTTTCCCTTGGGCCCGTGCGAGTGTTTCGTACTCACGGATCACCCCGCCTCTTCTATACAGTTCCTTCTCAACGAACTGCTTGCCCAAAGCTTGGAGGAACACATACTTTCCGTTGTCAACATCGAATATGTCGTCATTGACATCTTCGAACTCGAGTGCTGCTGCTCCGCGAGGCTGTTCAAGTGCTCTCAGGGCTTGCTCGTTCGGCGGCAAGAATTCTCTTGTGATGCGACCCCATCGCTACAAGCTGCGTACAGCCTCAGTCCAAAGGGGTTGGACTCAGTGTCACCATCGAACTCTGGCGGCGGTGGAATTTCGCCTGACCGCAACTTTTTCTCTTCTCTTTTTTTCTCACCTCCACGCTGTCCTCGTCTTCGTCGGACAAAGCTTGTCACCGAAAGGGGCGATGAAGGTGAGCCAACTACATCATCCTTGGCGTCTCCTCCACTGCAAGCATGACGGGGCTGCCAACCCCGTGACCTCGGCCTGCGTCATTCCAAACGGTCGCAGCTTCCTCGCCAGCCATGTCCTCCTCGTCGAAGTCATAGCTTTCCTCTCCGGCGCCATCACCTCCACCGTCAGGCTGCATGGCTGCCAGCCTTCCTCTGCGCCATGCCAGGAGAAAAGGCCTTCCATCCCCTGTAGTCGCTGAGGGCGCTGCACGCGAACAGGTAGAAGTGCTCGAGGAATCTACCGTTCCAGCTGTGCGCTACCAATGTTGGTTTTGGAGCCTGGAGTGCTCTAGCTATGTGGCCCTGGATCTATAGAACGATAGACCTCACAAGCAGCAAGTCCCACAGCGCTCCACCTTTTTCTATGCCATGGCGTGGGCAGGCGCGCACCGTGTACACGCGTTCCTTCCCTTGAGGTAGTGAAAGCGACGGATGTCACATGTCAAGTGTCTCGACCGTTCCATGCTTTGCATGTTCCACAGTTCCATCTTCAACCGTTCTTTCAGGTAGCATGCTTCTGAACCTGGAATCTGGCAATCCAAGAGTGTTTTTTGCGTGCGCTCCAAGCGCAAAGCTGCGAGTGGGAGGGTGGTTTGGTGGCTTGGGCCCCTCCCCCCTAAGAATATCCAGTCCCTGGACCTGCCTGTATGTCAACCCAACATGAAGAGAATGGACAGGTTGAATCTAAAAACAGTTCCACAAAGATTGAAACTAAATACGATTAAAGAAACGCAAAAAAATAGCACGTTGTTACCGAGAATGGGTGGAAGTTTCTAAGACATGTAAGCTCAAAACAATTGCAGAAGGCGCGCGCGTTTCGGAGCACTTTGCAACATACCGCTCTAAAGGTCCCCCGTCTTCGGTGGAGTTGCATCATATTTTCCTGAACATGTTTGCCTTCAACATTGCGTGGACACAGTAGCTTTATGTAGCTTGAGAACCACATGTTCATCGCAAAACGCGATCTGCGCATGCTAAACAGAAAAAGTGATAAACAGAGCAAAGGCCCGCGCATATCCTTTTCAAACTTTCCGCGCTTGGGGTTACTGCGGTAGCCGTCTCTCGAAGTGTTCGATGCAAACAAAGGACTTGATCTGTAGTCGAATCTCGGACTGAAGACTGAAAACTTCTAGACTGACCTTAGTGATGGGTCCACCCCAACTTTTGATGCCACACCAGATGGGCCGAACCTACATGTGACACGTTGTGGAAAAAGCAAGATCTTTTCAGCCATAAAGTGGCTTGAGAGCAGCAGTCTGTTCCACCCACTTCTGCTGCAACCATGTTGGTCTTCGACCTCAGGTAGACATCATCTATAGATTGTTCAGGTGCTCTTCTTCTTGCATCTTTTTTGATTTATCGTGGTTCTGTAGCTGGATCAATGATGAGTTTCCAGTTTCTGTAGTTCAAACGACTTGTCTCCATCTTGTAGCATGTTGTAAGGGTCGGGAAATTCAAAGACTGGACAAGGCACTTTACAGACCCTTGGGGGCAGTTGCGCAATCCTGCTTCATTCTTTCGTGTTCTTTTCCACCCGGCATCATTCTTCTTCTTGCATCGTCTTTGATTCATCGTGGTTCTGTAAGTCATGGTCGGTGGACCGATGAGGACGTTGCAGCTTCTA